GAAATCCACAAGCATGTGGACAATTTCAACAGAAAGGAGGAAACCATGAAAATGAACAAAATCTGGCTAACAATATTAAAAAAAAAACTCTAAAATTAGAAGAGCACAACAACAGAGAGGAAACAAACAAGGACATCTAATCACCTCTCAGCAAAAGTTTGCTCCAGGCACAGCCAAGCAATCAAATGCTAATCAACATTCACACCTAGCTCCAGCAGACAAGAGTCCTTTGTCCCACCCAGTCATTCCACAGATATATAAACCCTTTTTCCTAGTTCCAACAGACCTCACTACCTCTGAGGATGCTTGCCATAGATGCAGGCGAAACATCAGGAGAAAATGCCTTTAGAACATGGCCATATAGCCCGAAAAAACCTGCAACAGCCCAATAATTATGGCTATTTTAGGTTTCTGAGTTAAAATGTAAGAACACTGCTTTATACCAAATAAGACAATGGATCATTGTACGTGGTATGGTCCACCTCTCTGAGCTTTTATGCGGGGGTTCTTCCATCTGTACCTGGATTGTATGCACCAAAACATGAAACCTTCTGAATGGACAAACACTGAGGTTCCCTTGTTGAGGTCCAGGACAAGTGAACCCCATTGTTTATTCAGCGGCCAATAAATTCAGATGGGACCTGAGTGACATCCCTTCTTTGCTTTGCACCCCCTCTTTACCTAATGCCCCTTGTAGCCCTTTACTTCCACTTATCCTCTATGCATTTCCGAGCCAAACTGCAAGTAAAGCATTTCAGGCCATAGTGTGCAGAGACAAAAGAGGGAGAGAATTGTAGCCCTTTACTTCCACTTATCCTCCATGCATTTCCGAGCCAAACTGCAAGTAAAGCATTTCAGGCCATAGTGTGCAGAGACAAAAGAGGGAGAGAATTCACTTTCCTGTCCTTTTCGGATACAAAGTACCTCACTACACTAATCTGTAATAGATGTGAATGGGGCAAACATATGAATAAACAGGAATACTTCCTCCAGCCATCATTTCCGCTTTGTCCTGCAATGCGGTCTGCAAAACATTTTGAAGAAATGCACAGGCTCTTAAGAAGGAGGCCCGCCTCCTCTCCTGCCCCTCCCACCCTGGAGCTAATGAATAACAATTGGGGAATTGGAGTAGCATCTGACGATTTTCCAATAAATAAAACTAAAGCAATGTGAAAATTTTAAAACAGCATAACAGAGGAAATTAAGAACAGGAGAAAAGCAATCTTTTAGAAATTGAGTATTTTAAAATGTACTTACAAATTGCATGTGGACAAACTTTGAAAAGCAGCTGCTGCTGCATCACAGATAGTTGCAGAGGTGTGAGATGTTTGCATAACTGTGCCAATGGGCATTAACCTAAGGGGGGAAAGATTTTTTAGAGTTCAGGAATAGCCTTTTTAAAATCTTGTTGAAGGGAGCTCTGGCCTGGGCTGGTCCGTGAGGTCATGAAAAGTAATAATAATAATAATAATAACAACAATAATAATAATAATCTTTATTTATATCCCGCCACCATATCCCCCAATGGGGACTCAGGGCGGCTTACATGAGGCCAAGCCCAAACAACAGATTACAGCAAAATAAAACCAAAAACACAAGCAACAATATCATAATTACATTAAAATATGAATACATTAAGCAATATAAAACTAGAATAAACACAATCACAGTGACAATGGGTGGGCCACATGTGCAGGATAAAATGTTAAAAACTCAGGA